CCTATTCACAGCATCAGTTATTTTATTAGTCAATAGGTTTACATTAATTCTGCACAAGAGGAGCAGATTCTAATGTCTGTGAGGTGGGTTTTGTGAATGATATGAGGAAGTCACAATACCAGACTTCTATTATTTGAATAATCTGTGGACTTTTAGGTATTTTCATGCTGTTTTTTTTTTTTTGTTGTTCGTTTGTTTCTTTGTTTTGTTTTTGTTTTTTGGGTGTAGTTTTGTTTTCCTTTTTTTTTTTTCTCTTTCCCCTAACTCTAAACATATAGATAGTTTTCCCAGTTCTGGAACAGAATGACTCAGCTGGAGCTTATACTGAAACTGCACACCAGCTAAGAGCTATTCAACATATAGGAAATGGACTGTCATCATATGATAATGATGGAACATGCACACTAAGGGCTCTGCTTCTTATCTATACCAAAGTTAGTTTGTTCCTCTTTGCCTGCCTAATTACAGTATGCACTCACTTAAAAAACAAACAAACAAACAAACAAAAAAGACAAGAATATCTTTTTGTTTTGGATGTAGAATGTGGTGTTTGTGCAAATCAGAATTAGGCTCTGGAGGTTTGACTCAGTCCTATCTGAATACTATGGGAGGTAGAATGATCTGTTGTGAGCAGGAAAAAGCCTCAATAGCAGTAAAACCATCTCCTACATTTCATTTTAAAGCTGTTGCTTTTCATGTTGACCATGCCGAGTCTGCCTCTAGTTTTCTTGGTCTTATTTATTTTGAATGGGTTAATTTATATACTCACAAGGTTTGATAATGCTATATATCAGTTTCCCTGTTCTTGAAAACATGGTATATACTTCTAATGCATGCAGAGTCTGTCCAGTTCCAGAGAACACCATGCAAAGAATTTTGATTTCCTTTCTGACAAGATTGTATTGGAAGGATGCCACAGTGTGTTTCTGCACTGTAATGCTTAAATGAGACAGATACAAAAAATAAATAATCGTTACTATTTATAAGGAAATAAAATAGTAAAAACTGTTCAACACAACATAGCTGCTGTGTTTTTGCTCTATAAATCACCAACAGCAAATTCCTCTAAATGACAGTGGAATAGTGAAGAAGTTAAAAATGTCACATCGTTTATGTAAATCTTTCAAATGCTTGCAATTTATTAGGCACTATAAGATTTCTGATGGGATCTATAAAGAGGAAATTTTATTACGTAAGATTGTAATGTGAAATGATGGTAAGAAAGCAGACCTTTCGACCTGCTGATTGCTTTGTGGAGAAGTGTGGGAGATACAGAAAGCAAGAAATGCTATGTGCTTATTGGGTGTGTGTGCATCCTCTTGCAGACTGAACTACAGGATCTTGCTATAGATTATTTCTTCTTGCTCAGTGATCCCTGTAGTTAACTCCACAGCAGTGCAATCTCTGTAGTTCTGTTACCTGATACATTTGCTATGATGCCTTTATGTATGGGCTGAGACTTTTCATTTGAGAAGGCAGCCGCAACAAGATGCCTCTGCACAGTACCACAGTGGAATGATTTAAATTGGAAAAGACATCTGGAGGTCTGTATTCCAGCCTTTGTTCACAGTTTTTCAGACTAGATCAGGTTTCTTAGGGCCTTGTTCATTGGCATTTTGAGTCTCTCCAAGCATGAAGTGTTTACAGTCTCTTTGGAGTCTTGTTCCAGTGCTTGAATATTCTAATGGTTGATTGTTTTTTCTAGACCTGTAATCAGACTTCTGCTTGTATATATTTTTGTGGATATGCAATATAGATGTCAATGTTTATCTGTAGCACTGCAGCATACCTGCATGCAAATCCCTGGTGCCACAGGCCTTTGTTATCAGAAAGCCATTGCAACTCTGTGGATCCCATCACTTTTTTGACCAATGTGAGGAAGTTTGTTCTGTGACATGAACTTTGACTGTTCCTTAGCAGAAATGGGCATTCTTGTAAACCTAATATGAAAATTATTTAATGTGTTATCTCATAAAAATGGAACAGAATTCACTTAGTGTGCATTAGACCCACGGAGGCAGTGTATGCTCTGGCAGTACCTCAATTTGTAGCCTTTTTGGAAAGCACTTTTTGTGTCGGGTAAATGTTAAGTGGCTATCAAAATTTCAGCAGTGTTATTCTGCAAACTGTATTCCAAAGCCCACTGATGATTCTGGTGAAAGAGGAAAAGTGAGATCAAATCCAGTTTTGCAATCCCTGAACCCAAGCTTAATAGCAGTTAAAAAGTTATAATCACTTAGAGCCAGACTACAAGGTATGCTCCTTGCAGCTATCTTTTAATTTTTTCATGTCCTGATATACATCTCTATAGCAGTTTATATCCACTTTACCCACAAACATATTGACTCTATCTGTTTGATTTAAGAGTTATATCCTTTCTTTAAACCTCTGGTGTAAAATGTTAAAAAAAAATCTGGTGTTTCAAGAGAGGAGTTAACATAATGCCCTTTTTCCTGTAGGTTGTGTAGGACTGGATCAATGGCGCTTACATGTAACTAGTGAAATTACTAAATTACTGAAAATCCAAACCGGATTTCATTTCTGTGTGAATTCAAATAGAGTAGAGAATATTAAACACTAGACATGAATGGAGATGGTGATAGTAATAGCTTCTGGAGCCTGTTCTTAACAAGTTTTATTTTCAGTACTTCTTAAAAAAGTAACATTAGTCTTCAATGACTCAAAATCTCCCTGTAAGAATACCACCAACCAAGTCGACCTAGATTAGAGGTTTCAAGCTATTTCAGAGCAACAGAAATGCAGGTCCTTCCCCAAAACAACTTTTCTATCACCACCACCATAGGCTGAATTGATTGGTGTTATTCTGCAGGTAAAGTTCTGCAGTAAACAGGTGAACTACAGAGACTACCCTTTGTTGATTTTACTGTATAAAGCCAAATTAAAAAACTTTGGGTTTTTTTTCTGCTTAATGCAATTGAATATAACTAGTGTGAAATCCCTGGTATCTCAATTTAACTGTGTTTTAAAACCATAGATATTTGGTTCTGCTGCCAGAATTTAAATGATGAAGCTTTTTAAAATAATACATTAAAGCTGAAATCCAGAAACAGAGAAAGATAAAAGATATCTGCAGAGAGGATAGGTTCTAAATATTTATTTATTTTTAATTTTGAACCACGGTAATTCCACATGCAGTTCACACTGCACTCTTCCATTTCATTAGTATTCTGGGTGGTCAGGATGTGCCAGCTAAATACAGCCATCCTATGGGATCTTTCTGTAGTCATAGCAACTGGTTTGCAATTTCAGGAACCTGCACAGTGGAGGTCTGGCATATCTGAGAGCACAAGGTAGAGTCAAGATACTCACTAATTAGTCTATGTGTTTTTTGAATGGCTATACATTCAGCAAATAGACTAAGAGAACTCTGACTATTTTCAGTCGGTTTTACACGACCAGTGAATTGCTGATAGTTTCAAGAGTTACAAGTCTGGCTTCCTGCAATTCCTTCCAAACACTCAGCATTAGAGCCAGTCCAGCTGGATAGCAGTAGCTATGGGTAGAATCATCAATAACTCCTGTAAGTTGTGAGAGCACTGTTAATGAGTTACTGTGCTGCAGTATGAGATGTGACAGTCTCAAGCCTGTGATAGTTGAGTAGAAGCTCACTGAAATCAATGAAAATCTTACAAAGTCATCAGAATGAGAGCTGAGTTAGGCAAAAAGAAGGATGAAATAATGAAGGTGAAGAAGGGATTTCATTATCATAGAATCATTAAGGTTGGAAAAGACCTTGAGGATCATCTAATCCAGCCATCCACCTCCCACCAGTATTGCCCACTAAACTATGTCCTTCAGTCCTCCAGGGACTGTGGCTCCACCACTTCCTGGGGCAATCTGTTCCAATGCCTCACCATTCTTATAACATTCTCCAAGATGTACGTACCTAATGCCTCTGAATTTATTTGAAAGTTCTAGCTGAAATGCAGTTCATTTTCTCAAGCACTGTTTACGGTGAAGTCCAAAATAAACTCATAAATAAATCACTTGGATTAATCGTGTAGATCTTTTACTCAGAGATAGATCTCAAGAGCAGAAAATGAAGTAGGCATCATGAAGAAGGCAAAGTGCTACGGCCTAACAGAGACTGATAGATAAAGAATCCTGAATATCTTCACCTTCTAGTAAAAATTTAGGTGGTAAAATACTGTGACATGAATAAGAGAGACAGTGAACATATGAAATCCGTACTGATTCAGATGACAAAGCCATAAAAATCATTGATCATACATGGAAAGATGTGTACAAAATATTCAGGATGCTGGAGATTAATTTCAGAACAGATCTGAGTTACCATTTTTAAGAAAAATTAAAAGTCAGTGTAGTCATTTCTTTCAGGTTCCAAATAATATTGACAAATATATCAAGAGATATGTAAGAGAAAATATGAGTCAAAAAGGAAGGATAACTGTTAGCTCAGTGAACTGTGAGAAATGCACAATTTTTCAAGGTTTTAAGGAAAGCATGCAATATATGTGAAATCCAGGAACATTTATTTTCTTATGAAAATCATGTATATGACAAAAAATTTCACCAAGGGAGTGTAAAACTTAAATTATTTGCTTTTCAAAGCCAAATGTCCATTTTTTAAAACCAAATCATTGAAAAAAGTAACTATACGTATGTTAAATATACGTTACATATACCTGTATGTATGATAACAGGGGCTCTGCGTGTGATGGTGGTTAACTCTTTCAATCTAAGAGAGGTACTGTAAATTTTACTGTAGCCATGACTGAGGAACTGTAGTCTGCAGGAAGGACTGAAGTATGAAATGCAGTTGGAAATGCACTGCCACAGAGTGGTTTGCTCACCTCCTGCTCACACTGGGAAGGGGGAGAGAACTGGGGAGAATAATAAAGGGTTGAGATGAGAACTGTTTACTGAAACAGCAAAGAACAAGAAGTGTAATAGTAGTGATAATAGCATTTAAAGGAAGTCGTTTTTAAGAAAACTAAATTTGTTTGTTTATTATACAGGATTCTGAGAAGTCCGAAGTGCCATTGCTCAAGACTTGTAAGTCACTTATTTAATTAACTCAAAGACACCCACGTTTTTAGTGAAAGTAAAGTGTAGGGCATTGAAATTGAAGTCATGTTTTTATTTGACTTTGATTAGATAAAGAAAGGCATAAAGTTTAAGTTGGAGTTCTGCTTCAGTATGGTTATTTCAGTGCATGAGACAGGTGGTGTGTAGGTGCAGAAGGCTACACTAGCTGTTCCAATGTCTGCATGATTATTCTCCACCAGTGCACTGTAATTCTTTTAAAATTATCTGAATGAGCCTGAAAGAAGCTACAGAACTTTCCCCATTGTTCAGATTCATGAAAGTAATCTTCCTTAAAAAATAAATCTATATGCTTTTCTTTCTTCAGATAAGCAGTCCTTCTAATTTTTAGAGAGGTCTCCTTTTCCAGTGCGAGGTATAATGAGTTGAGCAGTTTTCAGTTCTCTCTTAAAACTTTTGGAGTTATTGTATGCCTGAAACTTATGCAGTGTTGCTTTCAAACTGTCAAGGAGCAGAATTCCTGACATGAAATTGAGTCTAGTTAATACTGTACTGAAGCTAGCAAGCACTGAAAAATATGAGGGATCATGTTTATTTGTATGAATAGTGTGTCAAAATATAATCTCTGAAAACAATGTGATGACGTGGAGGTCCAAGACATTCACAAAAATGGTCTGGAGACCTTGAGGCAATAAAGCTTTGAGTATGTGCTTAACTTAAGTATACCTCAGTGACACCTATCACTTCCTCTGTGCTCCGAAAGAGAAACAAATATTCTGTATTTATACTAAAAAATATTAACAGTGCTTAGTTTTATACAGTGTTTGATCTTTTTGATGTGCTTTGCCAGTTTTTGGTCCATCTCCTTGTTGTGTAAGGAACAATGTGACTGCTTCTTCATCCTTCTAACGTGTTTCCACAGTAGATGATTAGTTGAATTTGCGCTGTGTGAATTTTATCTGTCTAATTTATGCATTAAGGTTGTTTCTGAGGATAGCAAACAAATGAGGGCAGACATTGTTGGTAGGGTCATCATCAGCCAGATGCCTTGGAATTAAATCTAAATTTTCAGTATTTTTGCATCCCAGCTGTAACTCCCCAGCACTCCTGATGACACACTTTCATGCTAGTCAGTTTTCCCATGAGATGTGTCCTGGCAATCCCATTTCTCTCTCACGCTTCTCTGTATGTGCATGTGTTAATGAAAATAATTAAACATATTTATTACATGCATTTTATATGCAATTCCATATTTTAATGTTTGCATATCTATAGCCGTATGAATTTAATATATTTAATTACATATTACATATGTAAGGGCTGCTCTGAAGTAACACCTCCTGTTTTGTTATGTTGGCTCACGACATCTGAGGCAGATGTTGGTGGGTTGGCAGTAGATGTTGAACCTTCCCACCAATTTCCATCACATGTTGTTGCTGTGCAACAGATGGCAGCAGAGGGACAGTCTGATAAAATGGTGTCTGACACAGAAGTGCGTATGAAGCAAAGGGGTTGAACTGAATTCCTACAGATAGAAAAACTAGCATCTGTTGACATTCACTGACACTTGCTGAATGTTTATGGAAACCAAACTGTAGATGTGAGTACAGTGAGAAGGTGAGAGGAGCATTTCAGTGGTGGTGAAGTGATGTGAAAGGCAAGGTGCATTCTGGATAGCCATGCCGATTTTTTGAGTGCAGCATGTAGGCTCTTGTTCATTGCTGGCAAAAATGCAGACTAATGGTGTGACTGTCTTGAAAAACTGTGTTTTGTAGCTGTGAGTTTGCTCTCTCAAGTACTGTTACTGCAATCTATATGTTGTACCTTCAACAGCAATAAGCAGGGGACATTACTATTGGAATGTATTTATGTATAATACAATATTATTTTTATTAGACAAAAATTTATTTTCTGAACATAATAAATGTAAAAAAAAAAAACAACCTCTGCATGCAGTCTGGAACTTACAAATTATTATATGAACTTCTAAACAATGTTAAATTAAAGATGTAAACACATAAAGAAAGAAAATATGCTGTGTGTTGACCTATATTTTAAGAGTATTATGCCTGCTATTTCATTATTGCAGCTATCAAATTAAAACAAATGGAAGATCGTTTCTACCATTTGTAACTCCCATAGATAATAGAATATTTCCAGAGGTGAGAGTCAACACATTGAATTACCATAGAAATCATTAAAAGAACCACCAAATAATGCTGTGATCTCTCAATTAGTTTCATCTTTCTGAATTTCTTTTGTGATTATGCTTACTGTTGCTTATTTAGATTTTTTTGCTTTTAAGAAGTCGTAATCTAACCCTGAAATTTAACATCTTTTCACTAACAGAAATGTTTGTTTTACAGCTGTTGTCTAATGAAATCTAGGGCAAAATGAGAAGAAAGTTAATTATCCACTAAAGTGAACTATCTGCTGCTAATTCAAATTGCCTCCTTTCATCAGATCCAAGGCGCTCCAAAGAACAAATATTAATATTTCTAGAATAGAGGTATCTAACGCAAAAGATTTGCTAATTAATTAGTCTTTTCTTTCTCTTATGTTTACATCTGAGATAATTAATGCCATGAAGAAATATTCATCTAAGATGAAGAATTTTATGAAGTACTATTTTGCACAGTGACATAAAACAAAGTGTTCTGCACTTACTTGCACGTGAAGGAATTAACAGCCATTAGGTATTAAACTACTGATTATAGGTGTATCATTCTATTACTTTGTTCTATGATTCTGAGATCGTAGCAAACAAAACCTTGTTGTTTTTGCTAATTTGTTAAGATATATTCAGATTCATTTAAACATAGCATAACAAACCTTTTTCTGTAAGTAATATAATACTACCTGTCAGGAACAAAAACCTTCATTAGTTCCTTTAGTCCCCAGTGCTACCTCCTTTTAAAGGCCAGCAAGCAAAAATCCAGTCCTACAGTCCCAGTCCTCCAAGTCTTGCTTAGATTCTCTACTTCTTCCGTATTGTTCTGTGTAATAGAATACGAACTGTCTGAGCAGAGGGAAGCTGGAACTTCAGCATATTTCCACAAGCAAGATGTGTGAAAAACGAGGCCAGAACCTTCAGAAAATCTGAACCGTTAGAGAGCTGCTTTAGTTTCATATTAATTGCTTAAGTTCCCACTGTCAGAATTAGCTGGAGTTCAGCAGTACTCATGGTACATTCACCTTTTCCAATAATTGATTTCTGTGCAGTAAGGTGACCAATAGCATCTATATGATGAGCATAGCACCCCTTACAGAGTTATATATGGCCATGACTACTGTCTTCGGCTCCTTTTCATAGGTCGTATCATAATTTATGTTATGATGGTAAAAGTTGTTAATTGTGTCAGTGACCATATATTTGGAGGGCAAAAATATCATAAATGAGGAAATACAATGTTTAAGACCAGGTGTTCAAAAGAGTAAGAAAAAACTCTGCTTAAGGAAAATTTATTCTTAAAATAGTCATCTAAAAATCATAATCAATTCCAGAAAGAAATTAAGCAAAAATGTACCATGCAAAATCAAACCAGGATGTTTCTCCCTGTATGTGGTATATGCCTGCATAACTTAAAGATTTCCCATGTTGTATTATTTATTATTACCAGAACTTTAGGAAAGATATATGCATATACATATATATGTATCTTTCAAAATGCTGATCATCTATATGGCAGAAAGAGAGAACATATCAAGACATATTAACATTATTAGTTGATGTTATTTTTAAATACCATTTTTTTTTCTACTAGTTGTAATGAATTACATGATATATAGATGCAAAAAATTGTACAACTCAGTAAGGAGTTACTTTGACATGGTACATTAAGAAACAAAGTGATATAATGCTTGAGCTACATAATGGAATCTGCATCATTTTTCTTCAGTATTTTTCCTTAAAGTATGAAATAAGAAATATGATCTTTCAGTATTTCCATAATTTTTATAGTTTTACAGGGGAAAAAAAAAATACTTTGAGCTACTTTGCTCAGTATTTTCAAGGAAGATGGTTCTGTGTCTCACAGAATCACAGAATCGTAGCGGTTGGAAGAGACCTTCAGAGATCATCGAGTCCAACCCCCCTGCCAAAGCAGGTTCCCTACAGCAGGTCGCACAGGTAGGCGTCCAGGCAGGTCTTGAACATCTCCAGAGAAGGAGACTCCCCCACCTCCCTGGGCAGCCTGTTCCAGTGCTCCGTCACCTCACTGTAAAGAAGTTCTTGCGCATGTTTGTGCAGAACTTCCTATGCTGCAGTTTCCAGCCGTTTCCCCTTGTCCTGTCTCCACTCACCAATGAAAAGAGTCCGGCCTCGCCGTTCTGCCCCCCACACCTTAGATATTTATAGACCTGAATCAGGTCCCCTCTCAGTCTTCTCAAGGCTGAACAGACCCAGTTCACTCAGCCTTTCTTCATAAAAGTTACTCAAAAAAAGTCTCAGTTACAGTTGGAGAGGATCATTCCAGGGCTGGTCAAACTACTGCAAAGACTGCTGTTGATTAGACTGCCGAACAAAATAAAATTAAATGTTTGTTTTCGTATTTGAATCTGTCCAAATCTTCTTCCAGAAAAAACTGTTTTCAAGAATCAGTCAAGTTTTCTATGTATTTACTTGGTGATTATCTCATGTAGAGTAACTGAAGAATTACTTCCATAATATAGGATTCAGAGGCTTTCTGGAGGATGATGCATTTGTGTTTCCCATATTACAACTGATCTAGCAATACCACAAGCTATTCCTCCCCTCGTTCTTTAATAAAACCTCCCCAAGTGGTGATTACATTTTAGTGGTTTCATTAGCATCACTCAGTTTTTATGCTAGGTTTGCCTTTCCTCATCACTTAAGAAAAATCTTGCTCTTGTTGCTTTCTCAGTCCCCATATGCTGCTCCTCAACACACAGCACTTTCAATTTGCAGCAGGAAAAAGGAGCAGGAGGAGTATTATAATATTTGAACTTAAGCTTCTAGTTCGGATTCTGTAAACTGTTTTTGAAGAATC